GGTGTTTAATTATAGAAAGGTGATAAGACATGAGAAACAGTTCACATAAAGCACGGAAAATGTATAAATTAGTATCAGTTTTTCTTTTCTAAAACAATTTTAATGATAGGACACACTGTCACCCACACACACACACACGTATAATAATATATATATGACAGTGGAATGCCATATATGGAATACCATATATATATATATGGTATTCCATGCATTCATTAAGGAATTAAAAGAATTTTGATAATAGTAAAGAAAGTAAACACAGTGCTCACACAGGCTGTATACACATGTTCAAATGACCTGGGAAAATTATTCTGGGTTTGTTTTTTGGTTAAAAAACTTACCCAGAGACCCCTGAACAGACATTTAAATGCTGAGCCACTATGCACCCAGGGCCACCCCCTGGGCACACATCTCAGCCTGCAACATGGGCTCCCAGTCTGCCTACCAACAAAGTGAGAGTGGTGCACAGGGCAGCCCTAACTGGCTGACCCAGACTGTCTCCCTGAAACGTAATGAGGGGATTGGGAAGAGGCTCCCTGCTCAGCTGGAGCACTGCTCAACCCAAGTACTCTCTGGACTTGTCAGGGAGAGGGGAGGGGGAGAAGGGAGTGATCGGGCAAAGTACTGCCAGAGGACTGTTCTACAGCTTCTCAGAAGAAAATATGTATGGAAATTTGCTTTCCTATGACTGATTTAATGCTGGTTGTTCTAAGGGTTTTTTTCTCTATTTTTGCTCTGGAAGTAAAATCTTGAATACCTGTACACTAGTGGCTTCTCCTGGGTAAGCAGCAACTGAATATCTGTATGTGGCCACAAAAAATATCTTGGGCACTAGAATTCTCTTTACTGATAAAAAGCATAGGCCAGGACACTGGGCCTGGCTGCTAAATTTTATCAAAGTGCTTGGCTCTGATCAGAGTCAAGAGACTGGCATTCTTTGTGCTAATTCTAATCTGGATCCAAACTGGAACTGCTAGTGGTAAACAGTAACATTGAGTGGATTCCCTAACCCTGCCAAAACAAAGTTAAGTAGGGAAATGCTGATATATCAAAACCAAGACGTTTCATAGAAGTGTTCCAGATTAGTGCATGTTCACTGACTCCAAAATCACAGGCAGGCTTCTGCAGTTTCTGCCTGGATTCTTGGCAGTCTCTTGAGAAGCCTGTGCTTTCAGGGTCTTTCGCTTGGGTGAAGTTGGGGGTGGGGGATGGGAAGATGATTTTATGGATCTGAGAACCTAAAAGTCATGGGCACCTATAAACATATCCAATGTCTGCTCCGAAGAGTGCTAATTAGCACACGTCAAAACAGACTTCACAAATCGAGCCTGATGGAGCATGCTAAACAGCACACTCCAGCAGCCTCGGCCTCATGCGTATTCTGCATCCCTCTGCTTCAAAATGGCGGTGGGGGCACTTTAACTAAAGCTCATTGAAGGAACTTTACATTGCTCTCCCTGCCATTTTCATGCAGGGGACACTGAATACACAAATGCTGTGGGCGGTTAATTAGAGCAGTTCCTAAGAGCTGCTCTAATTAAAGCGCCCCCCCACCCTGAAGCACAGGTAAAGACAGCCCATCATTCCAAGTGGGCTCTCAAGGCTCCCAGCCATGGAATCCAGAAGTTCTGAAGATCCTAATGCAGCTCTTGCAATCTAGGGCAGTGGTTCTCAACCATTTTAGGGTTAAGGCCCCTTTCAGAAAATGCCAACTCTTAGTTTTCACTCATTTTTTGATTACAGAAAAAAATAATAGAGCAATTCGCCTGTAGCAAACAGCTCGGAAAGAACGCAACAGGGCAGAATATTCTGACACTATAGAGTCCTATCTGAAATCACTCGGATTATCTTGCAAAACATATTTGTACACCTACCTGTGCTAGCGCTCTGAAACACCCTTGAAAAGATCTCAAACCACCCCATGGTGCTGTAGCACTCTGGGGGCTATCTCAGAGCTGTGGTCACTGAAAGTCCACCTCAGTACTTCCAGCTTGCCAGGTCTGTGATTAGTAGTCCCAGCTCAAGATAGGGTCCAGAGGATTTGAGGAATGCCTTATGCAAACTCAAGAACTTAGACCAGTGATTCTGGTGGAATCAACTTTCCAAGAGAGTGAAAGTCTTGCCTGGGGTAGTTCACATTATGGGACTACCCAGGAGTCCCAAATGCTAGCATTTTTGTCATTTTCATTGTTGTAAATGTCAGTCAAAGTGCTGGGGTCCCAGGGAGCATTATTTTGTTTTGATACACTATGCCTTGGTATTTTTAAAAAAATAATTTTATTTTACTTTCTGATTGGGAAGACTGGAAAAACAAACGGGATTCTATTCCAAATCAGATCTAAATCGAATTTCGGAAATCCTGAGTTTCAGCCAGCTCTCATCAGAAGGTCTCCAGATCATGTTCTAAATGTTCTCAGAGTAGAGAAAAATGTCCTGGGATCTCTAAATTATACTTGAATGGCCACCAGAGAAACACAGAAAGCACAAACCAAGGTAATACTTGAGTCGAAAGATACAGCAATGATTTCTAAAATAGCATGATATAAAACGAATATAATAAATGAGAACTAAAATTCTTAAGTTCAAGCTGTTACTGGACTTCTCTCTGTGGTGTGTTGCTATCTTCAGCAATGTAAATGGAATTCGGACTGTTTATGTGTTATTAAAGTACATGGCACAATTCTACATAAACTGAGAGGAAGAGTTATCAAGAGGTAGGGAAATATAATATGCAAATACGCTTCTGGCAGTAACATGTTACAAAGGGAAGACAGAGCAAGGAGATCAAAATGAGGGGATTTTTTTTCTTTTATAAAATTAATACCAATATTACTGTTTAAGAACCGTCCAAATTATTTAAAAATAGCAGGGAATTCCTAAAAAAAGCAAATTATTAAAGTTTCATAAAACTAAATAATTCAAAGGCTTTTTTGATATGAAATATTAACAAAAGGAAACTATGTTGAAGAATGTATAGAAAGATTTTGTAAATTACGACTGTATTCCAGAGTGATTTCCCCAAGCTTAACTGTGTCCCAAATGGGAGTTAAATTGGAGAAAAACAGCAATAAACTTCATGAAAATGCTATAGAATTAATTTATAAGCAGGAGATAAGAGCCTTTAATCAGATCCTAATATACTATACCAAATGAAGAATAAAGTGCTACATAACCCAAACTGCAAATATCTTAGTCTTCCTTTCATAGTGCGGGAAGAGACTAATAAATAAATGTTTTAAATAAGGAGGGAGACGAGAACTGTCTGTAGCAGTTCATAAAAGGCCAAGCACTAACATGTACTGTTGCGATGATCAGGTTACAGAAAGTAATTTCACTAATGAAACGGACAATATCTTAATGTCTAAGAGGAAAATAATTAATATTGCTTTTCAAGGAATAATGCTTTCAAGAAATACCATAGGAAGTTAGTGCATTTAGTACACCCCTTCCTTCTGTAGATAGAACAAAAAATTAAGATACCAAAGTTGAAAGGAAATGCAAGAAGAAAACTGCAATCAAAACCATTATTCTTATCTTTATTTACACACATACATATACCAAAATATTTCTGAACTATATTTACCAGCCTTCACCCATCTTGAAGTTTTCAGTATACACCTCTATATTTTAAGAATGATAACAAAAAACAAGAAAAGCATAATTCCATATTTATGGGTTAAAAACATGAATGTGAGCCACATTATTATTTTCTTACCGTTGGAGCTTGGTGCATGTAACTTAAACAGAAACTCACCTAGCATGATACCGGGAGTGCCATGAAGTGCAGAGATTGGTTGAGGAGAGCTGTGACGTGGCTGTCTCAGGCTGATTCTCTGTGAATTTGGTTGCGTGCCAAGAGTGAGGCCTGCAGGCTAGATCATTTCTTCTGAAATGAGAAAGGTAGAGCACATACTTTTAATGCAGATCTCTTAATAAGGTGGCATGAAGTGAAAAACATCGACTAATCAAATTAACTTTGGATGAGTAGCACAGATGCAAAAGAAATTTAAACTACACTACATGCTACGCAATGTTCTACATGCCAGTTTTGAAAAGATGCCAGCTTTCTTTTAAAACACTTGAGACACAGACAATAGAACATTAATACTGTAACAGGGATTTGTGGGTTTATTTTAGGACAGGTAAATATAAATTTTAAGCATCTTGAATTTAGCCATTCAAAGGACTGGTGAGGTTTCTGACTTCTTTTACAACACAGAAGCTATGCAATAAGGTTTTTGTAAGGTTTTATGTAGGTACACAGGTGGAACAGGGGAGGCAGGGAGAAAATGGGTTAAAGGCTGAAGTAGGGATAAAACCACAAATATTTTTATGATTCCAAATTAGCAAGGTTAGAGAAGCAGTACTTAACACCAATGCAACTCTGCCATAGTGGTCTTACTGCATGGCACACCTAAAAGAAATTAAGGGTTGAACTTGCGTGCCTGAATTAGGCACTTAAAGAATATCATCTTCTTTTCAAATCTGCTGAACACAGAGAGTTCCCAAATAATGTAATAGGAAATGGTAGGTCTGCTTTGACAGTTCCACCAGAATCACTAGTCTGAATCACTTTTCATATTCAAGTGATAATGTATAACAACATTTAAATACTGCTTTGTGTGTCCACCCTTAGATCTTGAAGTATTTTTTTTTCTAAGGAATTCAAGAGACATCTCCTTACAAATACAAAGTGTAAGTTTCTAGATTTTGTCTTACAGAATCATCGTTCTCTGGAACTGATTTCAGTGCTTCCACCCTATGCTAGCTTAAAAATGATAATAATGAAAATAATTTGCACTTCCATTCAAGGACTCCATCAACATTAATTATTGCTTCTGTAAAATATGCAAGTCCCTTGTCCAAAAGTGATTTAGGTACTTTGAAGACAAAGGGCCAGACCCTTTCCCACCTATTAGATGTCTAAGGACAATCCTATTCCAAGCTGAGTGAGCCCAGAAAAACTTAATACTTCTTATCGCTGTCTTTTTTCTGCATCTTAGTCATAGATGACAGCATGTTACAGAAGTAGATGCTTTTAATAGAATTTTCAGGGACTTGCAAAAGGCAGAATAGAATCTAGCCCTAAGGCCCCGGCAGATGTAAAAGTAAAAGGCATGATGGAATCTGATGCACAATCCCCGTAATCAGGAGGTGCGATTGTGGGACTGAGGTCTAGATTCCATTACACCTTAATGCAGGGGGATCATAATCTCAAGCTCCCTCTGCACTGGCTAGTAGCAAGCTCTCATGGCTGGAAGCCCTGTCAGCTGGTTGGGGATCCCAGCTGCGGGGGCACACCATGCACCCCTGTGGCTGGGAGCCATCAGCTAATAGGACTCCGAACTGCAGAAGTGCACTCCACATC